TATATTCTCATCTTCCAAAGTAAGAAGTCAATAGATAATGAATAGAACTGTGAATCTGTAAGTTGAAACATCAACGCATTTGGAAAAATAAAGGTAAATGCCAGAACAGTCTGCTAAAAGGGTAGCAGAGATTGCTGCTGAGGGGTAGGAATTGGGGTATTTGGGCAGAGGACTGCTATTTCATTGTAAGATTTTAGTACTGTTTGACTTGTAACTATGTGTATATACTGCTTTGATTTTAAAAATCATTTTTAAAGGTGTATTTTCTATTTCTAAAATGATATATAATTTTATTAATGTTCTTAGGAGAAAAATGCAGAGAGTTTCAGGAGTGGATGAAATCCTTAGGTGTGTGCATGTGTAGTATTTTGATTTTGTATTGGAACATGTTGAATAATTAATTGCTATATCCTTGGAGGGTAATTGTAGCTCACTAAAGAATTTCCCCTCTAGTGTGTTTTGTTTTTACATAACAAAGGCTGTCTTAATGAACCTTTATCTCATTACAGTGTAATACCAATAATGATTTAAATATCAAAATGAAAGGGAAAATATCAGTTTTATTTTCGTTTAGGCAAATTAATACTGCGTAATCCATTAATTTTTCTTACTTTAAAAATAGCATTTGCTTAAGATAAAACTTAGTGATAAAAGATGTTGACCTCTTTTGATAGCAATAAAATTTTCGATATTTTATGAAAAGATAAGGAGACAATTACCAAGTGTCAGGAACGAGAAATGAAGTAGGCCATCCACAATGTTAATTTTGCTTAGTCAGAATGAAACAATTAATAGTATTTTTTAGTATCTTAAAACAACTCTGTGGCCTTCAGTTCAACACAAAGATAGCACATTAGTGCTATGTTATTATGTATGGAAGAATAAATTTCACTTTTTTTCTTTACCTTAACCTAATTGACAGAATAATTAAAGTATATTATATTTGAATTAACCACTCATATTTAACAATATTATTCTTTGATTCCTGTCATTTAGTTTA